CAGAATAGTTTTGAAATGATTCAAGATTTTATATATATATATATATGTGTGTGTGTATATAATAAAAATATATGTGCGTGCATGAATGTGTGTGTGTGTGTGTGAGTGCGTGTGTGTGTGTACGTGTGTGGGTGTATGTGTGCGTGTGTGTATGTGTTTGTGTATGTTATATAAATCTTCTACTCCTCATTTTAGGTATTTTTATTTAACACTTGCAGCTTGGTCAGGAGACTGGGGGCTGTCAGTGGATGTTCCACATTCTGACAAGCTGCTCGGAGTGTTCTGTCGAAGTGATCTTGTGTTTCCTCCCTTCCCCTTTGGGCATTGTACAAATGAGAGAATATATTGTAAATAGTTTCACTAGCAGGTCGAACATCTTATAAAATGACGTGGATTTTTCTGGTGTTGCTTGGCTCGGTTCCCACCTCTGCTGTCAAGAGGGACAGATGAGTATGCTGCTCCTACAGTGTCTCCGGTTATTCAGTGGTTAGAGCGCTCGCCCAGGAAGCGAGAGGACCTGGGTTAGGGTTAGGGTTTGATTCCCAGGCAGGGCGAAACGTTGGGCAAGTTCCCTTACTCCACACACACGCCTCTGTTTACCTAGCAATAAGGAACACGGCTGATGGTCGATTGTTGGATCACTTTTTCAGGAGTAATAATCCCTTAAAAAAAATAAAAGATTTGGTCACTCAATTATTTGAATCTTTCCCTAATTTTCTTTTTATAACCTGTTTCTAACTGCGACTGTTTGTGGAGACGCTGCTGTGTACAATTGGCTGCCACGTTTCGCCCACAAAATATGCAGTCAATTTACTTATAATGTATTCTGTGAAGTGCTTTGAGACATCTCGAAGATGTGATGAGGCTCTATATCAACTGCAAGGATTATTATATTATTATTTAGTAAAAAAAAATTGAAACTTTGAATAAGAATCCAGGAATCAGGCTTGCCAATAGGTTGAGTTAAACCTCTCGACTCTGTAGGTGAAGTGAAAGTGGAAAATTATTTCTCCTTGCCATCTGTTTATGTTTTCCAAAAGACCAAATTGTTTCAGCTTTTCAAGAGGCTAAATTCTCACCCAGATCTCCATCTTATTTGAAGCTGGGAAGGAATGTGTGAAGCTCGATTGCATTTATGCCTTTCGTGCCCTTGTTTCTATTCAGGCTGACCACTAAGACATAACAAAATCATTCCTTCATAACTGAAATACCAATCTGTCATATAGTGTTAGTACAGGTACTGTCCAGGTACTGGAGTTCAGTTGTAGCTCACACATGTGCCACTAGTAGCAGTTCTTTTTTGTGGTCTTTACCCAATGACATAGATAGTTCAGAGTTCTGAGTGGACTTGTGCTTTGAACCTCACTATTTGTGTAAAAGTAGCTATTGACCTAAAATAAATAAACATAAAATATACAGTAGTATAAAACTACAGGGGAAATTTTTTTTAATGAGTTTAGGAGCATTTTTGCACCCAATGTATGTCCTTTTTGTTTTGGTAGATATTAGTATTTAATCATTGTGTTGAAATGATTTCTTTGAATAAACGGTTAACTTAAGTCACATTTGCAAGGGTCTATAATGCTAAATGTCCCAACATGAAGTCCTGGGCAGGTATCAAAAAGTCACCCAGAGTGCAACCGTACTTACTCTTGTGGTAACCAATTGGAAAGCTAAAGGATACCGACTGCTTAGACCCAAAGAGGCTTGTGCTGCATATCTACATCTAGAGCATGAACATCATATAATGCAGTATTGTATTACGGCAGATTGTAAATGAGCTCACTGAAGAGACTGAATGGACGGAGAGAGATTAGTATTAGATGGATGACACCGTGCATATATTAGGGAAACTTGAGTCTGAACTTGGCAGCTTGAATAGACCTCACTCAAACCAGATATTTTAGCCTTTGTCCAAGTGATGCCAGTTTATTATTGCTAGGTTTGTTGCCAGTGGGTTGCTTCTGTCTCAGTGGGTCTAATGTCAGCAAAAATGTTCAACTCATATTTGAGACTTGCCGGAATAAGATAACTTCATCTAAGATTTCAGTGCAACAACTGTTGAGTAAAACCCCCTCCTGTTCTAACAAGCAGTCATAATCAGAATTTACAATGATAATCCCTAATGTAATGTTAAGGAGTGCCAAGCAGAGCACAGAAGCTAATGGAAGAGTAAGTAAGGATTTAAATGCTACTGCATGACCCTTAAAATTATATGGCGTTGAATGAAGTCGAAGAACAAAGCCCCTCATTCTGGTGTGAATCTGTAATATGACCAGCGTCATATTTCATTTCAACCGTGTGTTTAAAAATACATTAGCGTGTACTTAAACAATCCTCGCCCGAGCATCAAACCCAAGAGGTGGGCTGCTGCAAACTTCTGATCGCTCACGTGAACCCGAATTTAATTTGTATGAATTTCCAGAACTTTATACCTTACATTTACAGGACCAGCGCGGCAGGCAGGCAGGCAGGAAGGAAGGAAGATATTGCAAAATATGTAGAGGAAAAACCGATCAGAACTTGAACAAGTGGGTGAACGAGTAGTGTCACACGTTCAATCCACTTTGCCATACATTCCCTGAAGCGCTTTGAGATGTCTTGATGCCTGTGACAAGGGGCTGCATCAAATACAAGGATTATTATGGTCTAATCGTAAAACTGATTCAATTCTTGTATGTGACACAGAGCCCATCACATCGGTGCTTCATATGATTTTACTGTGAAGTGTAGTTACTGTGTATTTGTTGGCAAACAGCGCAGCCAATTAGCACACAACAATGTCCCGCAAACAGCTGCGAAATAAAATGACCAATGGGAAATTGTTGTCCAGAACAGAAACCACCTTCTCTTTTCAAGTCGTGCCATAGTCTAAGGGTTAAGGAACATCTTGCTGTTTTATGAGGTTAGTGTGGTTGTGCAACACAGAGTTCAAGATCTTCTAATTATCTTGTTTTTTGCGTGCACGTCGTAACAGGGCACAATTGAAGGTAACTACAAACAGAACAAATGTCTTGTCGACTTTGAGCCAAGTGCCTATGGCGTGGGAAGCGTGGGTGGACTTTGTAAAGGTTTAGAGGTTTCTCACAGTCTGGTGCATGGTCCATCGCCCCTGGATCAGCAGTTGTAGTTAAGACCATGTTTGGACTTCTGTATACAAGGGACCAAACATGAGAGGTGGTGGGTGAAGTTTGGCCACTAATGTTCTGTACAGATGACTTGGATTAATGTAGTGGTAGGGTGAGGTACAGCTGCAGTCACTCGCTGGTTCTTGGCATAAACAGCAAGGCCTGATTTAAGTACTTACCGCTTCTCGCGTGCAGCTGCAGACATGATGGTGTAGAAGGCTCACAGCCACCTGGGCAGACCTTTTAGATTTTATTTTCCTGGATGTAGTTAGTCATTCTGGTTGGGCTTATTTGGAAATTGCTAAGAAAAGTTTTCTGTGCGAATGCAGGGCTTACTGCAAATAATAATAATAGCAACAGTTCTTGCATTTCACATACGGCGCCTTATCACGTCTTCGAGACGTCTCAAAGGGTTTCACAGAATATACTGAAAAATGAATTGACTGTGTATTTTATGGACAAAGTTGTATTGCTTGGGGATATATCGTTTGTGTAATGACCTTTGTGCCTGCAGTGGACTGATTAGAAAAAAGAGTAATTAACTGTAACCTCTTTGCAGTAGGTTAGCGTGACTAGATTTTATTTTTGGAAGGGGCCCATTTTGAATAATAATCCTTGTATTTGATGTAGTGCCTTTCTCACAAGCTAGTTCTAATGATACCACCAGCGCTCTGTTTAAAGAACTATTTCAACAAAAGGATCTTAAACATGATCATTATTCTTTATAATTCGGTGACTTTTCAAATAGGTTTTGGTGGGTGAAGCTCGCTGCGTGAAATTCAGAAATGGAAGTTCAATTTGCTGCTATATATTACGTTTAAGACCACCTCTTCAGATGTCTTTCAAAGTGGTGCAAGTTTATACTTCACACAATAAAAGCAGCTTGTAAGAAAAACAAACATGCGTTGCATGGGAATGAAGGGTTTCACAGTAGTCAGTGGGTATTGGGTGAGTTCCAATGTTAACCACAGCAGTGAAATGCAAACACGAGCTCCATGTGGGCAAATGAAACTTTGGCAAATGTTACCATTAAGCGCTGATGTGCAAGCCTCATCAATTTCTTGCCCTCGCTTCACCAGTGTTGAGCGAGCTCAGCGATTGTCCTGTTTGTTCCCACTTTGTGTAGCACATTGTGAAAGGTAAAAGTTGTTGGTGAGTCCTGGCTTCTCAGTGCTCACGTCCCACACTACCGTAATAGGCAACGCGTCATCAATAAAATTCTGCAATTGGATTTACAACAAGAGGACAGTGGATGTTTCTTTACCGCACAGTTTCGCCTCCAACGCCAGGACCTGTTGGTGAGATGGGAGCACTTGCTGCCCAATATCCGGCTAGGCTGACAGTGTACATGCTCAGGGCTTGTTTCCTGTGGCAGTCAGGAGAGTCCTTGAAGCTTTTTAAACATGGTGTCATTTGACCACAAATGTTGAAGCTTGTGCTGTATGTTTAATTCAGTCTCAAAATGAACAAGACCTGGTTAATAACCATGGGTGTCTGTTCATGATGGAGACATTACATTCTTCACGTCAATTCTGTGAACCCTAGAAAATCCCATTGAATTATCCCTAGATAATTGTACATCTAGATGTGTTTTACATCTAGATGTGTTCACATTTACTGTTGGGAATTTTTACTGGCCTGGAAATGGGGAGAGCGTGCTGGAAATTGAACCGATGCCATGATGTCTCGAAGAGTTTCAACTCCTGTCCCAGTGTCTGGTACCAGAGCTGGCACAATGTTATTCATTGACCAAATGCTTGGGTGAAATCCATGCATTTCATATGCCCTGTATGACGAATTTCACATAATGTCCCTTCTACAGTTCAATGATTGCATTATGTCACTCCATTACGCTGCTTTTTATACCTGCAGGTGGATGCACTGAGGTTACGACTTGAGGAAAAGGAAACCTTTCTCAATAAAAAGTCCAAACAGCTTCAGGATCTTACGGAAGAAAAGGGAACACTTGCAGGAGAGATACGCGATATGAAGGATATGCTGGAGGTGAAAGAGAGAAAGATTAATGTCCTTCAGAAAAAGGTAGGTTTGTGTTTGTGTAACCTGGAATATTTATTGTGAGATATCTCTGTCTTATTTCCTTTAAATCTTAAAATCCTATTTGGAGGATTTTATTTGAGTCAATGTATAGATTCACATTTATTTGGCCGGAACAGAATTGATATTGTTTTGAAGCCCAGTGACACCGTGTGATACTTAGAGCATCCACCGCCTGTCGAGATTATTCCATGTACTGCCTGTCACAGCATTGGATTCTCTTGTTTTCACCTGTTTCACCATTTTCGACTAGTGTTATTTGCTGAACCACCAGGCCTTACAAGCGCTCGTTCAAAATAGCAATGTGTTTGGCAGCACTTGAGGAAGCACTTTCCAAGACTGGGTTTCAGCTTGTTGTGCAGTGTGTTTCCAGGGCAGAGGATTCACGCCATCTCGTACAATGTGCCCTGAATCCTAGAGGTGTTGAGTTGAAAGTCCACATCAGGACGTGTGCAGGGACTTCATTTTCTGGTGATTCTGGTTTGGATATAGACCATGTTGTAGAAATCGGAATGTGAACGTCTTTAATTTCTCAAAGTATTCCATTTCGACAACCATTCCTTTGGTATACATTAGTCATGCTAGTTACCATGGCAAGTTCACATTTGTCGAGGCCGTGATTCGGGTTTGCTTTTATCTGCAGTGTTTAACAATTGAGATGAAAGAATTTCAATGACTGGTTCCTGTTTCCCATGTACTTCATCTGGTCCCTGGAGCAGCACTCAGATGGCAACTCTAATCGACTGCACAAAGGGAAGGTAATGCTGACAAAACAGCAATACGCTAGGCTTCCTTCGAGGAACGAACACCCTTATTGCACGTCAAACCTTCCCTTTTCTACAACGACACTCACTAAAGCAAAGGCTGTAAATGTACTCAACTTGAATCTGTGGCTGAGAGAAAACATTCCCTTTAGACTCGTTTCCCTATTAACACCATGTCCATTAACTCATGCACTGCACTGTGTTGCTAAAGGGATTACGAGCTATGTTTAAATATGGGTAAACTGTATTGTATAACCATCCTGTATCGACACTCGAAAGTGCAAATTGGTAAGTCACCAGCGAACTGGATCTGTTTCTAATTTGGGTTCTGCATTGATTTGCCCGAGCACCTGTGGCTCTCTGGTATCTATGTGACCTTCTCCATATGTGTATAATGTGGCTTTTTGTTCTTGATGACATAAATCTGTTCTTCGCATGATAGTTGTTTCAGCTAAATGCTATTTCCTGTGATTTCATAGCAGAGCATATTTAGTTTAATTTCTTCCTTCCTGCTCTATCATGAATATAAAACAGTGTATTACATATATCCAAATTTATCTCATAGTCCGCTTGATCAGAGGTGACTTTGAGTCATGTGAAATTACCGGTAATTCTCTGATCATTGCATTCAAAAGTACTGTTTTTCTCCATTCAGAAAGAGAGGCAGAAGAATGCTTTGTAACAAAGGATTTTAAGCAGTATTACCTTTCCAGTGATGTTCACTTCTACTCAAAGTAAAGGATGCTGCATAGATCTCTCAACAACGAAAAATTATCTCTTCCTTTCAAAGTGTTTTTTTCCCCTGGTTATGAGGTGGGGAAGTAGTTATTTTGGTATAATGTGTGGTGAATTTCCAGTGTTAGAAGAGAGTTGTGTCCAAAAGAAGAAATCACACTTCACACGCCTGCTTTCAGGGATTCAACTTTTATTAATATTTGGTGCTTTAATCTATTGGCCAAGTGAGTGAGTCCCTTGACTGGCAACTACGTGGGGGAATCTCACCATAGTGTGACATAACAAGCTGTGTTTGGTGGGTCTTGGATGAAAACTGAAAACAAAAAGTCATGCAATCTGCATCTAAATTAGATCCAGCTTCCATTAAGTTATTTAAAATATTTATTGCTGTGCCACTGATGTGGTCAATTCTAATACATAAATCGCTTATCCATTCAGCTTGATACAGTCTCTATTTTATCCAGGTTAGATTAGGGCAATCAATAGGAAGCAAAGGCCCTATCTCTTCCCCTCTGTGGTGCAGCTTCTCTTGGTCTGGCACGTGGCTGCATCGGATACGCTTGTCAACTTCGGGCATGAAATAGGTTGCATTTTCTTTTGAACCCTTTAGACTGGCAGCAGATCTGAGGACTTCAGCTGAAGCTCTGTCCCTCTGGACTAAACCCTGAGACAGTGATACAGTGCAACTCAGCAAGAACTGCCTTTACTGGAGCCAGTTTGTTTATCAACGCGTCCATTGTCCATGCTCCTACATGACCCGCAGGTTTCTCACACCCGGATCAGCTTTTCACTCTAAAATAGCCGGCATCTGGATCATTAGGTTTCTGTCAATGTCACTTCCCGCTTTTCAGTGTGTAAAAGGTATGCGTTGTGGAGCTTTGTCTGGTTTGGGTACTCGTATCCACGGTGATGGGTCTCTGCACTTGCCAGACACGCGGCTGAGATCCCAACCAGCTTCCCTTTTTGCTGCACATGTGCAGAGCAGAAAGTGACAATCCTAATGATCTGGAAGTCGATCATCTTAGCCGTTTGCATGGCAAAAATGGCTGAATCCTGGGTCATCGGGTCACGGACCGAAGTCACTTCCTGCTTTTCACATAACCCAACAAAGAGGAAGTGACATTACGGTGACCCGCTGACTTGGAAGTCTAGACTTTTTCTTTTAAGTGCAGGAGCCAGCTGTAGCATTCCCCACATGCCAGCTGGTTTGTGCATGTTCAATAAACCCCGCTATCCCACCGCGCAATAACACGAGTTGGGATTTTATGAATTCCAGACATCGTATAATGAGACTCCAGTATTACAGTAAAGCTAGTTAGCTGTCAGGAATCACTGTGTAAACTCTGTGCTTAAAAACAAGCGTAAGTTTAAAAAAAAAGTCTTATTGGTCCCCACTTCTTCTCCCCTTCGAGCCATGTGTTTCCTCAAAGTAGATCAAATGTATTGAGCTCCTCGGTTGCACAAATCAAAGGTCCTGTGACAGGTAATTCCACCATTAGGGCAAAACGTTCAACTCACTAAACCGCTTTTTTGATCATAGACGAGTTGCCTGTTCGGGTGGATGTTAAAGATCCATTGGCACTATTTGAAAAGAGACGGGGAATTTCTCCCAATGATCTGGTCAACGATTCCCCAGATAAAGCTGATCCTTCTCTTTGTGGTTATTTGTGGGACACAAATTGGCTGCCATGTTCACCTCAAAATTACAGTCAGTATGTTTTGCAGTAAATCCTGTGAAGCACTTTGAGACATCCACCTGATGTGAAAGGCACTATATCAAATGCAATGTGAGGATTATTATTACTCAAATGGACAGAAATGCATCATTAAATCATTGCTCTTCAAATCTCGCCTCCCCACCCTCCCTCGCACTCCCCTGGAGAACAACTTGAACTGCTGTGGTTGAATACTGCACTGTATGGTAACAATTCACTCTGGTTCAATCACACTGGTGTCTAGATCAAAAACCTATATAAAAATATCATTAAAAGCAGGAGAGAAGTCGCATTTTAAACGCAAAATCCAACCATTGAGCTCCGCAGTTTGCCTTCATTAAATGTGTGAATATATTACATAAAAAACACTCCACACCACACCACGCTACAACCTGTCAGCGACCGAAGGGAACATTTAACGACAGCCTCAGGCTCAAAGCCCACGCATAACAACATCTGCACACAACAGGGACCCAAAACCAACTGAACTCCCTAACAACTGGCTCACCTCAGGGCAATTCCCTGCCTAAAATACCAGCGTGTCGCCACATCAATTCACTTTTCTTTGCAAACAATTGTTTATTTACTCTGATGTGAACTCTAGCGCTAAGCAATTGTATAAACAGACCATTGCACAGCTCCCCCTTTGTGAAACAACATTTACACAACTCGTGGTCCTGATCTGCAGACTCTCGAGCCCCGGCTCGTGGGCACTTCTGCTCGTTGTTTCTGACGAGGTGTAACCTGGGACCCATTTGCGATCCTCTATATGATTTCCACTCCAGAGCAGAATCATTTCCCAACGCTTTCACTGAACCTATTGCACTGCCCTCTCCAAGAACCATAAAAGCTTCGGAGAGGATTCCCTAGGCTCCGATGTTAAACCCGAGATCTCATCTGCCTGTTCAGGTGAACAGTAAAAGATCCAATGGCACTTAGTACAGTCACTACATTAGTAGTGTACAGTCACCTTGCATTAAATCCTGAAGCAATTTGAGATGTTCATCGATGAAATAAGGTGCCAAACCAAATGCAAGGACTATTTTTGACTAGATTACAGCAAAAATAATACTTCTGATGTTGCTATTACTTTGTAGAAAAGCCCTGCTTACGACGGGTGTATCGCCACTCTCAGAATGTTGTCACTCAATCCACGACTGTTTGTGGGGACGCTGCTGTGCGCAATTGGCTGCCGGGTTTTGCTCATAAAATACACAGTCAATTCACTTTACAGTGCATCCTGTGTAGCGCTTTGAGACGTCTCGAAGATGTGATAAGGCGCTGGATTAAATGTAAGGATTATTCTTCTTATTATTTCCTACACTGCAGCACTGAGAAACTTGAGGAGTTGAGTCAGCATGTGCGTGAAGGTTGAGCAGAACACACAGAAAACCTTCCAAGTATAGTAATAAACTAGAACTCTTAAAATCAAGCCACCTAAATTACTAGAGTAGCTAATAAATTGGACCCAATGTATGATATTTATCCAGACATGAATACGCTGAAGGTGCCCAACAGACTGGATTTATTTAAAATGCTAGAAATCACAGTTGCTGAACAGGTGCAAACCATTTATTTTCGAGGTGGGAATGTTTTTCATGTGAAATGTTACATTAATGCTAATACATTAAGCCGGCTGACTGGTTTGGGAGATGGCCGGGGACGTCCGAGTGCTGGGTTTGTGCTGCGTGTTTGCACGCTGACGTTCTGTTGCCAAACCTGCAGTTGAAACCTGGGGCTGAGGGAGTGACACCACCCTCGCAGAGACCTC